CCAGGAGATATTTATCAGTACAAAAGTAGACAATCATAAAAAAACATATGATTTGAAAATTACAATAAAAATAAAAAAAATATATATATATATATAACGAAACAAAAACAGCTACAGTACATTATAAAGTGATGTAAATAACTAAAAACAGGAACACGTCTGTTGGTTTATGCCTTGAACTAGCCGATGTTTAAAGCCATTTAACATTTTATTTTATTTAATTAATTTATTCATTCATTTAAAAGAAACAAAACAAATTCATCAAAAAGAAAACATTGAATGAAAAGAGTGCAGAAAGAAGAAAAGTCTTATATCTGCCCCTTATTTAGAAAAAATATAAAATAACTTTAAACAATCACCTAAATTATTCACATTAATATCCACTTTAAAGCTAGGAATAAAAAGAACTATGTTTTGTGTTAGCAGAATTTAATTAACTTTAAAACTTATCCAACATTAATAAAACTTACCTCAAGTTGCCTTTTTTGACATGCATGCATATATTTGTACAAATTGTGCTTGAGAGGAGATTATTACAGCCTCATATAAAAATCAATTATGATGATGATATCGATAATTCAGCACTGTTTATATGGATCAGATCGGCATCGGCCGATACCGTGGCATCAGATATCGGTATCAGATCGGAAGTGAAAAAAGTGGATTGGTGCATCCCTAGTTTTTAGTATTTTACATTGCTTTATATTGTAGCAGTTTTTGTTTCTTTTTTATATAATTTACTTTTCATTTTATATGATTGTCTATTGTTGTCTGCACCTCATCTGTGTTCATTGTTTAAAACAGGTCTCTCTTGTAAATGAGTCCCTGAGGCTCATTGAGACTAACCTGTATAACAAATAAAGGCTGAATGAATGAATGAATACAACTTAATCAAATCTAAAGCAACAACATCTGAGCACAATAAGTGGATCATCGTTGTTACGATGAGGGTTAACATTTGCTGTATAAGTGTGTAAAGAAAAGCAAATGTCAAGATTTTATTCTGGATTTCTCTTCTATTGTTTGCAGTTGAATCATGTACAGCTTTGTCGTTTGTTGTTGTTTTTGTTGGCCCTTGTACAGCTGTTCAGTTTCCTGCAGTGCCTCAGGACTCTTGAACTGTCCAAGATACAGAAAGGTAATACCTCTCCCCAGAGGCTGTATCAGTTGCCAACTTCCATAGTGTATGAACTGAAGATTGTAAATGCCGTCTCCCTCTGTCTAAACTTCCTGGTTGTCGTTGTTACAAAGTTAAACACCACGAGATGACATCTCTGAAGATGTCTGCTTCTGTTAATGTCTTTTTGACAAGATTAGAGTCAGGATGGGTTCCTGGTAAAATTGACGTGAGTTTTTGTAGAAATGACACAACAGAAGTAGTCTGCGTGTCTTCGTGCAGTCTGAGCTCAGGAGGGTTGAAGTGCGCGTGATGGGTGTCAGAGCTCAGGAGAGGGGGGTGTTGCTGGTTGTACAGCAGCAGGTGTTGGAGAAAATGTGTGTATTTTTGGGTAGTGCAAGAAGTGTTTTTTTCTCTCTCTCTGCCATGAACAAGTCTCTGACGTATCATACCTCTTTCTCAGCACACTTCTCACTTTGACTAATTATAGTTAATTTGATTCGACTTTCCCATTAACACATGTACATATTCTGTCCTAAAAAAATAAATTAGACTGGGATTGTTTAGTCCCGGAGAGGAAATGCTCTCTTCTTTTTTTTTTTTGTTTTTCCATTTTTCATCTCTTCCTCAGTAACAGGAGAGAGAGCAAATTAAAAGAGGTCATATGAAGCAGCTTTCTGTATGTGTAAAATTAAAGAAGTAAGACACCAGCAGACGTCTGGCTTCCTTACTAGACCAGGTCTTCCTGTTGGACTAAACAAAACA